TTCAAACCACAGTGATTGCAGGGAGACAACTCAGAGGCTCTTCCTTTCTAACAGCTGGAGCAGTGAACTTGCAGCTGCGTCCACAGTTCAAAGCTGCTCCTGCAGCAAGGTGGGGACAATGCAATGAAAAACTCACCTCCAACACCTGACCAGGGGGTGCAGAGCTGAAAGGAACTGCAAAGCACCCATCTCCCACTGGAGAAGGACGCCTAGGGAAGGATGTTCTAACCAGCAGCCCAGTTCTCCCTGCCCACCTCTCCAAACATCCCTGCAAAACGGGAGAGAGAAGCTGGCAGGCAGAAGGGCTGTCAGCACCAGCTGGAACCAGCTTCCCCTGTCAGGGCCAATTTGCTACCCCACAGCACCACTCAAGATCCCAGCTGATACTACAGGCATCATTATTTCACATCTACCCTGGCCATTTCACACTTAAATGGCCTTAGCCCACTCTATCCCAGCACAACTGGTGCTAAGTCACTGCCTTCTGACTAGTAGCATCGCTTTGGGATGATCCCAACAGACAGATTATTCCTAACCCATGGAATTAAAAGGACTTGGATTTCCTCTCCCTGGCAGTAAATAAAATGTAGGGCTGGAGAACACATACCCACAACCTTGTGTCGGACTTACGGCTACACCAAAGCACCCAGGAGCTGTTTTAGGGGCAGAACGAGGCAACCTGCATTCCTCACCCAGCAACTCAAACACATCAGTAACATTAAACCCTTCCTGACCTCACACTGCCACAGCTTCATATATAGATAAAAATCTGCTGCTTCAGTTTAGGGCAAGAGCATCCCCAATGCTGGCAAATGCACTCCAACCCCACCAGCTGGTACTGCCACCCTCAAAATGGTGGGAATAGAGAGAAAAATCTAAACCTCCACTACAGAGGATGGGTGAAAGGACACAGCACTGGAGCCCTCTGCCTGCCCCACACCCTCCAGGGATGAACCCTAGAAGCCCTTACAGTGTTTGAGCCCCACACTCCCTCTCCCCTGCAAGCACCCTTACCCAGCCCCATCAGCTGCAGTAAAAGCTGCCTGTACCTTGCCTCCTCTCCAGCTTTACAGTCAGGGTGAGATAAGGATGCAGATTAGAGCTGAAGTCCTCCCTAGCTGAACAAAAACATCCCAACAATCCCCTCCAAACCAATACCGGAAAAAAGCAGCCAAGAGCACTAGATAGAGGAGCTGTGAACCTGCAGAAGAGCCATGGCAGCAGCCAGAGCTCCTGAAAGCAGCTGAGATGCTGAAAGCAGCTGAGATACTCTCAGGGGCCATCCAAGCTCCCACCTCTGGACCAGAGAAACTCCGTGCAGGTGTGCCAGGAGAATATCCACAGTGAAGAGTGAGAGATGCCAACCCGGCAGCAATCACTCTCAGCAGCACTGTCATGGCAAACTTTGGTCCTGTCTCAACATTCATGCCCTGCAGCCTGCAGCACTAGGCTGGTCCTGTCAGACCCAGTGCTGACTCCACGGAGCAAGTTCTACCTGAAGAGTTCCTCCTGCGGTCGAGACTTGGCACGACTAGCTCAGCAGCTTGTTCAGGGAAGAGCCTATCTCTCCAATGATGTGAAGACAGCAGCAGGCTGTACACAACCACAACACACTTAAATTAAAGCAGGCTGGCCTTGGCATTTTGGGGATAAGGAAAAGTCTTCCTCTGGGAACTTACTGAAGCATAGATGCAAGAAGCGTTTATGCCACAGCATTAGCATCAGGAGTGAAGCTCTGCTGTGGCATTTCCTGACCTTGCCACCTTTGCCCTTTGAAGTGCCGAAAGTTTGCTCCTGGATTTGCACAGTCCCCTTTGCAAGCACCATGGCAGGTGTGCGCGCCCTTCGGCAGGAAAGTTCTCCTTGCTTCCCACCTGCACAAAGCCTTAGCCAGGACATGGCAAAACAGGCCACCAAAGGTACCACTGCTTGTCTGCTTGCAGATGCCTAAGGGCAGCCTCATGTGTTCAGCTTGACAGCCACAATTTGAAGAGGCTTGAAGACTTCAGCATCCTCCTTTCTGTAACTTCTGGTCCTCCATGGGACTTTGCACTCACAATGGCATTTTTCAATCTGACGCTCAGATTGTTCTGGGAGAGGGTTGTGCCTACGGGGTGCACAGACACCACCAGTTATCAGAGTCCATGCTCAAAAAATCAAGTTCACATGCAACATTGAGCGCATATGCCTCCATGAAGTTTTTGAGCGGAATCATCCTCTACTCCTTCCCTAGCCAAAACAGTGGAAATCATCAAATATTTCCATGTGCAAACTCCTTTCCCAAAATAGCTTGTCCAGATAAAGCTTTTCACCACCACAAGAACAGGAATATGCTGGACAACTGGTATTTCACTTGGCTTTGTCACGTAAAGGAGCCAGCCAAAATGCTGTGCTCCAACTCTTCCATTCCTGGGGCTTTTGCTTGTTATCCATCAGATTTCCCAACATCCCAGATAACAGCCCAAGAGATCTGACCTCCCTCAACTCCCTGCATGTCCCATCACCTCTATTTGACCCGAGCAAAAGTCGAACTTGCTTTCAGGAAGCTAAACAAGTAAAGTAAAGGACTCAGCCTTGCTGGTTTTTGAGCACCAAATAATTTCCAGGATGAACCAACCCACAGACACGTGACATGACAGCACCAGGGCCATGCTCAGTGTCTTGTGGTCACATTTGTCACTGACAGCTAAGAGTCAAAAACCAGGCTAGAACCTTGCCACCTATTCAGCCTTTCCTTCCCTCTGCAACCACACATGAAATCCACGGGAATTCAGTATCTTTGTGACCCAGCCCTCCACCAACCCTGGCTTAAATCAGCCAGGCCAAGTGTCAGGTGGGCAGGAGCAAAGGAAGAGACAGGTTGTGCAGTAACTACAGGAACCTTATTTCTTTTCACAGCCAAAGGAAAATCTATGTTGTCTCCTCCTGGTCTTGATAGGTGCAGCAGCTGGGAAAAGACACTCTTTGCAAGCAGGATGCTGTTCCTCTAGCAACCCAAAACTTGCACTTCACCATGGTGTCACGGTGGCATCTCAGGTTAGAGCAATACACAAGAGGTAATGAGGGGGCAGAGGGCAGGGAAAGAGACATGGGTTCTGCATAGCCCACAGCAATGCCTGACAACATGTTAAGCACCTGCAGCTCTCTTTCCTCTACATCTCCCAGCAGATTTAAAAAAAGGAGGGAAAGGGCAAGGAAGAAGGAACTGGGAGGCCTAATCCTGTGAACAGCAAGGCAATCCAGCAGCAGTAGAAACAACAGCACTCCCAGCAGATAAAAAACAATCACCAGATACTTCTCCTAGAGTTTCTCTCTGCCCTACTGCAATAAATTGAAAACTAAAAACAAATGAGGAAAGCCTACACACCACGAGTGGATCCTGCCCACGTCCCCAGCAGCCTCTGTTTAAATAAATTTTCTGTGTGACTGTGCACTTGCAGGCTCGCGGCAGCATATGTTACTCTACACAGCGACTCCAGATTAGCCAATCCTCAACAGTTATAGCTCAACTTAATTGAACGTGTCTCAGTGCTCCATTAGCTCTTGCAGCAGCAGCAGCCAGCTGCCAGCTGGCTTGTGCTTGCCAGCAGTGCTTGGCAGTGCTGCCAGCTCCCTTCCTAAGCCTTGGAGTGAAAAAACAGGCAGAAAATACATATATATATATACATATATATATACATACACACACACATATATATTTAGGAGAAGAGCATAACAGCACCATAACACAGCTGCAGTTTGACTACTCTCTGAGGCAGCTATTACAAATTTTCTCTCCCATCTCTGGCCCAAAGCAGCTGGCCCTCATCAGCTTCTCCCGGGGGCTCACTTTCTAGGTAGCCCCAACTCCTTCCAGCCATTTCCCGATGATGCAGGTGAGCAGAGGCCACTGCCATTGCTTCAGTGAAGGGCAGAGCTGACATTCCAGGCGTAGAGGCTTCTCCGTCGCGTCCAGCCACGTGTTCAGCACACGCTCTCCCCCTGGACTGCTTCCCCAACGGGCAAGGAGTGGGGCATTCCGTCGGCAGACCCGCGGGAAGCCTGGTGATGTCCAGGTTGGAAAGACCCCAGAGTGGGGGCGAGGGGTCTCCGCCTATGGGGTCGACGCCACTCTCCAAAAGCTCGGGGACCCCGCACTGCCGGGGGTTTCCCGGTGCCAGGAGAGTTTTGTTGAGGGGGCTTAGTTAAGAGAAAAAAATAAACAAGGACAACGGCCCGAGCGCCGTGACCTTCTGTAACTGCGATTAATCAGATTAATGCATGTCATCGCGCCGGCGCTGGGGCAGGGCCGGCGGTGCTCGGGGCCCGAGGGCGGCGCGGGGCCCGTACCTCGCCTCCCCGCTCCCCGGCTGCACACGCCGCCATTCCGCGCAGCCCTCGCTACGCCGCGGGCCATTCATCTACCCGGCCCTCTGCAAACGTGGCCGGACCTCGAGCCCGGGATCCCACCTTCCTCCCTGCCCTGCTTCCCCGCGGGACACCCCTCCGCGCCGGGAGTGGCGGTGCTGCAGGTCGCGGGGGAGGTCCTCACCCCGCTCCACGACTGCTGGCTACTGGGGATGGGGGAAGCGCCGGGCGGGGGGTCCCGCTCGCAGCGCGGGGCAGACAGAGAGGAGTCGTGGAAGAAGTGGCAGGGGAGAGGGCTGAGGGAAGGGCTGCCGCCGCCCCTACCCACCCGTGCCGGGTCGCTGTCCCTCCTCGCTGCTGCAGACGTGTGGAGTCGTGGCACTTTCCGCCGCTGTCTCGCCGGGCTCGACCGCCGCGTCCCGCCCCGCCGCTCCGCGCCGCGGGGCCCACTCAGCGTGGCGGGGCGGGACGGGGCGGGGCGGGGGCGCGGGGTCCTCGTCTCTCCCTCGCCGCTGCCCGCCGCGGAGCTGTACGGTTGGAGCGGGCGTCGGGGGGAGGTGGGCTGGGGAGGGGACACCGAGCGCCCCGGGCCCGGGGAGCCCCGCGGACCTTTGCCCCCGGGCTGAGCTGCCAGGGATCGGCCTGCGCAGGCGGTGGCTGCCCGCCGGCCTTTGCTGAGGATGTCAGCGTCATCCCTGAGGCATAGCGGGAAGAGGATGGTTGGGGAATTCGAGGACTTCTCAGGAAGGATTGGGGGTGCTGCTCCACGCTGGGACCCTCCTCAAGGGCTGGGTGTGGGCACCATGAAGCAGATTGGACCCGAAAGATGGCTGCTCCCGGCAGGAGCCTTTTTTCAAGGTTTGCAAATGCTGTGTGGGTAAACAGCGCTGGGACTGGTCCATCATCCACCAGCTTGTGGGTCCCAGGACAGGGAGAAAACCGTGCCCCCGACAGCCAGTGCCACCCCGTATGGTGGCTGAACTCTCGGTACATGCCCTCTGTGTGCCTCCTGGTCTGGCTGTGACCTCCCATGGCGGGGTAGAAGAAATGCAAGGTTTATTACCCATGTGCCTGTTCGCACCGGAGGGAGTTAGCTCTCTGGAAGTGATTTGGATGCTCCAGAAAAGTAAGGGTTAGAAGGGGCTCCCTTCACATCAGAACCAACCATTAGGCTGAACCATTGGAGAAGGGCGTCCTCAGGAGATGCTGCACATTATTGTATTTCAGTGGCCAGACCTTCTCAGGGGGTGGCAACTGAGGCTGCTGTCAGCAGTGTTCCTGGGATTTACATCAGCTGCCACTAGATCCTTGCCCCTTGCACAGAGAACAAGCCATGCTATTGAGGCCAGGCTGGGGAGGGCAGCAGGTCCTGCCCACAGCCTGGTACATCTTGACACAATGGCGAGGGGAGAATAACTTACTGTTTCATGCAGGCTGATGTGATGGAAGAAGAGGAAAAATGTGCTAATGGAGAAACATTTCAACTAATTATGGTAATATGGCTTCTGCAGAGGAACCTGAAACAGGCACAAATACTTCTCAGCACTAATGAGAACTTGGAGGCTCTTTTGGGTTTTCTACAAGCTTTTCAACAGGCTGTAGGCAAAGCAGACAGGGCAGGGCAGGGCTCACCACTTCGGCCTGGACCTAGGGTGGGAAGACCCATGATGGCTATGGCGCCTCCAGGCAAAGGCACAAAGGTTTGGGATCCAGCTCTGCCCCAGTCCACCTGGGATTATCAGATCATTAAACTCACCAAGGACCTTCTCCAAACCAAAGCACTTTGAAGGAGGAATGCAGGGGCTGAACAGCACTGAAGTCCTAAGCACCGCAGACCTCTGTTTCCCTGGCTACAGCCAGGCACCCTTCCCAGCCACCCACCTTGCCATGAGCATCCTTGGGGGCTAGGGCTGTTTTCTCATGCCTGCTGGACATGAGAGACATGGGACTGGGCTCTTTTGAGCTCTCTTAGCAAAGTACCATCTACTTCATTTTTTGCTGGGGCAGGGACTGGCAGGCACTGCCCCAGCCAAGCACCCGGGGCATGGGGAGCTGGGCTCACTCTTACAATCTCCATCCAAATGAATAATTGAGTGTCTGTTTCAGCATAGAACAAGAGCAAGGATAGAGCAAGGGACATATGTATGGGGAAATGCACAGCATGGGGTGAAACCCCAGGCAGACAGAGCTGGAATGTGATCCTGGGTGTCCTCTGCCACCATGGCACAGATGTTCTCAGAGGACAGCTCCCTCTGCTCCTTCCTTAGCTGTGTTTCGGGTCTGTAGACAGATGTATGAAACCCTTGCTTGCCCTCTGCTTACCAGCTAACCCCTACATGGCTGGAAGCTGACTCACACCACAGCAGTCCTCCCAGCATCCTCAGTTGGTCTATTCTTGTGTCTTTCACCCCAATTTTTAAGATATCAAGTGTATACCTCCCATCATGGTGTTTCTGTCTGATTCTTGCACTATGCTGTTGATCCAGGCCACTGGGATAACATATTATCAGTGTAATTTGCTTTTACTTCATAACTAAGGCATTCTCCCTAAATACTAATTTTCCCAACTCCTGCCCAGAGGCAGTATCCAGCCCAAATCCAGAGGTCTGTGTATGCTGTTGTTAAAACAATCAAAGTCCTGGCAATTTTTCATGGTCATCTTCACCGCTAGAAAGTCTTTTTTTAGTTCAGTTTGAAAATTACCTGCTCCAGCTTAAGTTTTTCAGTTCCTAGTTATTTTTGCATCCACAAAAAGCTGTTGTTTAGCCCTGGAACAGTTCCAAATCTTTCACTGGATGTATTAGTTATCCTAAATTCATAACCATAGCTGGAGTATTTTTAGCTCTGCACAGCAGTCAAACAAATGCTGCCACAAGGTCTGCAGGGCTCCCTGAGGTCCCTTGCAGCCCAGCTCCTTCTGAAGGTCCAGGCTCAGTTGTGCAGAGATGACCATGAAATCCTACCTGGGGGGAGCCAATCAAATGCTTCATCCCATTTCCCATGAGATCTGCATCCAGGCTGCAGCTGAGCAGACAGACAGGCATGGCTTGTGCTTTCTTCTAGGAGAGTAGTCATCTCTGCCTGGGCCTGGTGGTGCATTTTGATCCTGAACCCTTGTGGAGGTGTGGAGGTGCCTGCCCCCTTCACTCCCACCATGGAATACTTACTGCTACAGGAATACACCAAAAACTGGTAGGAATAAGAGCAGAGCAGTCCTTTGCTCCAGATGTGGCTGCTGCCTGCGCTATGGACATAATGCTGTGTTGTCTGCCAGCCAGGCCGATCCTCCAAGCGGCCCCACATCCACACTCAATCCCTTTGAAGACTCTGGAAGCAGCCTCTCCTTTTTCATAAAAGCAGAAATCAGCATGTCTCGCCTCCCCTTGGCTCCCTGGTGGTCCCTCCTGGCCTGCGTGCCTTGCCAAGCACTCGCTTGTCTGGGTTTAATAAGTAGCAGCCCTGCTCTAGTGATGGAAATTAGAAGTGGATGCTGCAGCAGAGCACAGTGCAAGAGTTTCTAGATTGTTCCTCTCCTTCCTTGCTCATGTTTCTGCGATGGCATGGCTGAGGCTTGGATTAGAAAACGCACCATGCCACAGCTGTATTTGCTTCAGGAGCAGTACACCTCCTGCTCAGCCTCCCCTAAGCCCCCGTTCCACCTACCTCCATGTGGGATTGGAAATTACAACCTGAATATGAAATATGAACCAGGACCTGCAGGATACCCCCACTTCAGTGGGCTAGAAGCCAGGGACCAGTGGGACAGCCCAGTTCCCAGCAGGCACTAAATCCCTGTGTCTCAGCAGCTGGGCTTTGCCCTGGGTGTTTGTAAAATAACACTTTTCCAGGAAAGTCATGGTGTTCACACCTTAGATTCCTATTCTGCTGTTCTCCCATCCCTACAGCTCTGCTTCATGAGATGCACTAAAGGCTGGCAGGAGGAGCACTAGCCGGGCAGCCACCAGAAGCCAAAAGTTCAATGACTTCATCTTTGGGCCCACTGATGATTGAACTATTTACAGAAGTAGATGGCATTGGTAAGGAGCTTGGAGTTAAATTATCTGATGAAGGGTTTGAGAAGGAAACCTCTTTCTTTTCTCCCCAGCTCCAGCTACTTCCCACATTGCCCACTGGCCTCATCAAGAACATCAAGTTCTTGGGGCATCTTTCTTCTGCCCTCCTGGCCATAACTGGGCTCCCACTATGTAAGTCCATCTGATATCTGGTGGAAGATTGCTCTGGGTAATCTCAAGCCATGATGACATGAGCTTTGGAATGGGGCAAGGTCAAATATCTGTATGCTTCATCAGTTCCTCTATCCCTCTTTGAAGATGTTTTAAGCAGAACTTAAACCTGTTCTGTGTGAAAATTTAAACAGAGGGAGGGTTGTGAAGGTACCCCACCTCCTGTGGCTCAGCCAGCAGTGTAGGAGTGTTAACCATCTGATTTCAGACCCCCAGATATATCTTGTGTGGATAAGGCTTGACACCAAGGAGACGTGCCAACGCATAACTTCAGCTACTCAGTTGCCTGCCTACTCTGCAAGCAGCTCTTGCTCTCCATAGCACTCAGGAGCCATGAAATCAGGTGCCCCTGATTAATCACTCTGTGTGCTTGTGTGTCTATCCTGTTGACACTTGGAAAGTATTTCACATTCTCATGTTAATTCTTTCCCAGAACTTTTTTGCATTGTTTCAGTTGAGAGTGATTCCTGGCATGAGGAAAACAGAAGCAGGTGAGTGACTAGCAGAGGATGTGCAAGATGGACTAAGACCTGTTTAGCTAGGATGGCTTGAGATATCAGAGCTGTGCACCTCAGCCCATGCCAGAAGTTAATATAGACTCTGCCACGATGTCAGGGAGCAAGATGCACTATTGTCCTGTTTGCTGCTAATCTTGGTCCAGCACATGCCATGGTCCCCCAAGCCTCACAACAAAGCTTGGGGTGTTTGTACTTTCCATGCAGCTTTGCCAGGCACAGGACTCAGCATCAGCCGAAGGTCAGTCAGGAAGGGCAGCTGGAAGACTGAGTGTGGCTGGATCCATACAGATGTAAGCTGCGATACTGCAGTGGAAAACTGTATCACTGTGCCAGAGCAGGCTTGTAACAGGAAAAGCCAGCCTAAGGGCAAAGCAGGAGCACAAGCTAATTTGGGAACACAATGATTATGCTAATCAAAACACCTTCCAGAGTCGAAGGGAAGGAAATTAACAAATCCTTTACCATGCACTGTGGTGTCCCTGTGGCCAGTCTGAAGGACCAGGTATGCTTGGAAGAAAGGGCATTTCCATCTGGGCAAGGAAAAAAGCACTGGGACCTCTCCCCTCCAGACACTCTTCATCCACATTGGATGCAGGACAGTTCTGTTCTTCCCATCCCCAAACTGGCTTTAGGTCCAGAAAAATTCATGCTTCTCTTGAAAGTTTGGCTGGACACAAACTCACGTGACTCAGGGAGATGGAGCTTAACAAGAAACTTCATCAGAACTTAGAAAATCAGCTGAGAAGGGTTGAAGCAGTTCAGGGACATGCAGCTTGTCTTGCTCCACTGCCAACAGACTGTGATGGGGCAATCACTGGCTACATTAAGGGAACTCTTCTCACTTCCCATGTATGATCTTAGCAGGGTTCATGCTCATTGCATGACTCACTATCTGGAAATTCTAATCCAACTAAAACAGCCCAGGAAGGCCCTCCTAACAAGCCAGGAACAAACACAGCTCTCAGCTTTGAGCAATCCCAGGGCAAGGTATTTTGGGAATGCTAGTGCTACAGAGCGTGAGTAGAGGACATCAGTGCACTTGCAGGATTAAATAAAAAGGCACAAAGTATCTCTGGCTTAGAAGAAACACACCGTAGCTGGGGACAGGATTCTCTGGTTAAAGCTCTCCCATGTTCACAAGGCTCTTCTGCCTATTGTCACCACACCTCCAATGTGAAATCCGTGCAACACCTCTCCTCCGCTGGCTGAAGCACCCTTTGGGGAGAGTAGAGGCATTGGCTTCTGCAGGTGCTTTTTGCCTGGTGAAACCTGCACAAAGCACAGGGATAGGAAGAGACAGTCTGTCCGATCTCCAACCGATCTAACAATGGGCCGTAAGCTTCAAAGAGGCTGATGAAAACCGGAAAAGTACCCAGAGAGCCCACCAGTGCTTTGGCTGGGTGAAGACCACAACAAGCATTTTGGAAGGGCCTGAACATTGCATGGGAAGAACAACAGGGGTGGCCTGGCTTCCCACACAACAAAACCTGCACATCAAAGCTTCAGGGCCACTAGGCACCCAAAGGGAAGAGGGAGCTCAAAGCACAGCAGTTATAATAACCCTGCCACACCAGCTCCTTTTATTCTCTGGGCTGGCTTTGCCAGAAGCCAACAGGGAAAAAATGTGAACCATGTTCACAGTCAGAAGCTTGGGTGCACCTGGAGGGACTGCAAAATATTGGCATAAGAGAAAGCAAAGAGCTGAGGAGGGTTTCCTCTGTTCCATGGTAGAATGAAAGCTGCAGATAGAGGTAACACCTTCTGCCCAGACACTCACTGCCTCTGGACAGTGTGTTTATTTATTAAGTGCCACATCACATCAGCACACAGCAAGAGTTTCTCTCACCTTGGGTTCTGCCCTGTGATGAGAAGCAGGAAAAGCAAACAGCACCTTTTTAGTCACCCTCCTGGGCTGCCTGATGGGATGTCAGCACAACCACACAGGGGAAAAAATCTCTCCATGGCTTTTGCATCTAGGTGGATATGCCACTAATGTCAGTTTTCAGTATGTCACACCAAGCCACTGCAAGCACTTTTCAGGAGGTGAATGCAGTCATGGCAGTGCAGCTTCTCCTAGATCTCTCCTGGGTCAGCAGTGGAGGCATCTCCCAGGTCCCAGCTGAATGTACAGACTCTGCAACAAGCATGGCATTGTCCCACCATTCATGCCTGTCGATGCACAGTGGCTCCTCCCAAGAAATTGTGTTCCATGCTCATATGAAAAAATACACTCTGTAAGTGGCATATTTTTCTGAAGGAGAAAAATTCCTGTTTGAAATTTTCTTCCCACTCCACCGCTCTATGGGAAAAAAATTGACTTGTAATTTTTTCCCTTGTTTTTTCTCCTGTTTGAATATTTCTCCAGCCCACAGAAAACAAAGAGATGCCCATGATGGGTGGAATTGATCTGTGAGACAGCATTGGAGAGGAGATGGGAAGTCAGCAGATTACTGTGTTGGAGGAAAGCCCAAGGCAGGCAGGTGTCCCAGGACCCTCTCCTCCAGCACAGGACACAAGTGTCACATCACAATCAGGTCTCACAATACAGAAAGGGCTGTGATTGGATCCCTCTCGGTCCAGGGCAGCCTGGGCAGGACAGGCGAGTGTGCAGATGGACTGTGGTAACAGGAGGCAGGTTATACCTGTGGCTGGGTGCTGGCTGTGTCTGGGAGAGGTTCTTTGTGGGACCCAGACACCCCTTCTGCCCCTGCCATCCTTCTGGTCTGATGGGGGGGACAGAAACCTTCCCCTCTGAGCTCAACACCACGTGAGCTTACATGGCTCCCACCCTACTGCTCATTCCTCTGCTCCTGTGCACTAGCAAAAAGCAGACAAGCCTTCCACCTGCATTAAATCTCTTTATTTCCATGAACTGGGATCTGCCGCATCACCGTTGAAATGTATCAGATGGTTTCTAAACTAGACACACCTAGGATGGTTATTTATCCAGAGAAGCTGAACTGCTGTACTGACTCTATAACAGCACCGGTAAAGCAGATCATGATTAGAAGAAGAAGTAAGAGAAAAAAAAAAAAAGACAAAGAAAGAAGAAGAAAAGAAATAAAAAGAGAAAAGAAAATTAAAAAAATATATTCTTAAGCAGTTTTCCTTCCAAAAAATATAGCTGGAAACCTAAGGCTTGGGGTTAATCTGTGTTTGAGGTGGCACTGAAAAATGCCAAGGTAAATCCTAAATCTGAATTACTCTTCTTAGGGCAGAGCCATGTACCTGCACATTGCTGTCCAAGAACATGCTGTGCTTGCTGCCTGCACACAATGCTTTGTAGTCAGAATCCTGTCTCTTAGCAGAGAGGGGATTTTTATATTAGCAAAAAAAAAAAAGACCTCTCTGAGTACATATATGATCACTCCCAGGGGCCAGGCCAACTTTTCCACCAGGTGAAGGGCTGTATGGGTCAGCAGCATGGTACATTGCAAGCCCCAGACCTCGCTGCAGCACCATAGTATAAATGCTCATGTTGGGGTGCCAAAACATCATGTGTTTTGGGCTTGGGGAAAGTTTTTGGGCATGGAGGGGCGAGCTTGGAATTGTGGGAGTTTCAGGTCCAGTTTCAGGTTTGCCAGAGGTATCTCACTTGTCCCCCTCCAGAACACAACCTAGCTTGACACCTTGGTATTATCACCTTATTTTTCAGGTGTGCTGAAATAAAATCTGCTCTGGAGGGGGAGGCATGTCCCCAGCCACTTGCACTTAGGCTCTGCTCTTCCAGAATGGCCATGAACACTGGAAAGCCTGCAGTTCGATTTAAAAGAGGACTTCTGGCCAGTGATTGACTTGGCAAGGGGGAGTGTTTTTTCGTATTTGACAAAGGCCTTAAAAGTAAAACTGGAGTGAAAGGAGGTTGAATGGGAAAGCTGGGAATCGGGTCATCATGACACTGGTCAGTTTGAAGCATTGTGACACAGCAGAGCTGTCCCATAGGCAACAGGCATGGCCTTTGGCGTGCTCATACCTCCCAGGAGCTGAGCGCCTGGACCCACAGATGCAGTGTGGATCCCTCCCAGCCAGCAGAATTGGTTCCCATTTCCACTGCCAGGGGCAGTGGCTCTTGTAGAGTTAATTAATCTCTTCATACAGTGTAATTAACCTCTTGGAATGACTTATAAACAACATGTTGTAAAATCCAAGCATTTAAATGTGACATAAGTGCCAAGATTGTCTTAAAAAGCCTCCACACTGAATCCTTTCAAATAACACATTTTGTGGTCTTTCTGACATAGTAGCACACACTTAAATTTAACAGACTTTTTCTCAACTGTCCTGGTTAGACACATGCTGTAATTTCATGTGTCCATGTACTGCTAGAAGAGCAGATTCAGGTAGAGTTCCCAGTGGCAGTCACTCGTGCTTGAATGGTGAGAGGTCCCAGGAACACAATAGAAGGGTACAGGGCAACCACTGACCGAGAATAAAGCCAGCATACTCACCACTGGAAAGCTGCAACCTGTCCCTGGATTTATATATATATATGCTGCAAACTGTACTTTGACTCTGTGTACTCAAGGGAATACAATGTAAAGCTTGCCTGTATTGCTGCCTCTGCTCCTATTTGTATTTTAAAGGCCTATCTTGACTCCTGGATGAGATGCATTTTCCTAAAAGTGTCACATTTCCATTAACACCTAAGAAAACAAGAATAGGTACTTGTCAACTTGCCCTAGTTCAAGTGGAAAAGCAAGTAGCATACTTGTTTGCAAGTCAGTAGATATTATGGAAGGAACTCTCACGATCATCCTTGCTCAACCATAAGCACCTGTGCTCCTGGCTGGGAGACTGGAAGTGACACCAAGAAGTAACACCTCTTGGGAGATGCAATGGGGTAGACTGTCCAGTGATGGCTCTCCATTGTCTGCTAGGGCTCCAAAGAGGAGTACCCTCAGGACATGCAGTGGCTCAGCCCTGTTCCTCTACCAGCCTCTGCAGACAGACAGTGCTGGGAATGCTCCATCTGGTACTGTGCCTGACTATGACCAAGTGAATTAAATAGGGAGTAAACACAGAGCAAACATCACTTCCAGAGAGCCTATGTCTTTGTGAAAGACTGTCTGAGGTTCAGGAAAAGAAAAAATTAATAATGGTGCCCAATGCTCCCGAATATTCTCTAACTGCACCAAATAATTTGCAAGAGGCAAGTCCATAGTGGATTTTGTGACGTTTTAAGACTTACATGGGGCCAGCTGGAGAAGGGGACACTCAGGGATGTGCAGGGCCAATTTTGAGAGAGAAATGCTGCTCCTGTAGCCAGCAGCTGCCAGGAACTTTTTGCAATCAGCCAGCAGGAGCTAAAGAAGAAAGCAGCCCAGCAGTAAATATACTAAGCAAATGCAAACAGTGAGTGAGTTCCAGGAAACTGAGATAACCCTGTAGGCACAAAGATCCAGATCCAAAGCCCACAGAAGTTGGTGGAAAAGAAAATCATGTTAGCTTTTAGCAGCTTTTGGATAAAGCCCAAGGAAAGTCAAATAAGCAATCTGGTCCCAATGACTCTGTAATTCTTTCCAATTAAATAGCCACTTGTGGTGGTTTTAAAAACTCTTGGGGGAAAATTAAGACCACTCAAGCCACCTCCTTTAGATAGTGGACGAGAAAACAAAACAAAAAAAACTAAGAGAGATTATACCTAGAGTCACAATTTACTGAAGAAAATAGCAATAAACACAACAATGAAAAGAATGGTTTAACCAACAAAGGCAAATTATTGCCTGGTCCCTTTTAGGGCAAAACAGGATGGTGGATGTTCCTGTACAGCATGCCACAGAGCCTCCTGGGAACAAAGGCAAGATGGCAGAGGGCCCCTGCACGGGATGTGTGGGCTGAGAGAACAATGAAAAACAATGTGGCAAACGAGTTTCCATGGTTTTATGCCCTCCCCTGACCAGACAAACCATGGGGAATAGGGGCAAAACAAAAAAAACTAGGAAGCTATATCATCTGAATCAAGAATTGCAGTGCCGGTATGCTGATTCTGACAATGGCAGCGCAGGCACAGGCTCTCTCTCCCACCGTGGCACGGTGGCAGAGAGTGGTGCAGGTGCAGGGGCTCTCGCTCTCTCTCTCTCTCCGGGGACGGTGGAGCAGCAGCAGTGTTGGTGGTGGTGAATGGCACAGCGGAGTCCCGGTCCCAGGCAGTGGCTCTGTGGCAGCTCCACAGTGGGGGGTGACAGAGCGCAGTGCAGTTCGAGGATGGTTCTGACCCTCCCACGAGCCCGGCAGCAGTTCCAGCTTGCCAGCTTTGGCCCCACTTACCACTCGCCGGTTCTGGCAATAGTTACAATTTCCCACAACTCCAGTGGGCAACTGAAAAAGAAAGTTCACTGCCAGGTTCAAGGGGGCAGTCCACCCCTTCCCGACGAACGTAGAACAGAAGTGAGCTCCTGGCTTCCAGCACGTCAGCATTTTCTGCTGAAAACCCCATCCTTCCACACTAACGTGGGTAGTGTGGAATAAACAGAACTCCACCCCATCCCTGTAAGTAGGACACCACCTCCTTGGCAGCTCCTACTTGCAGCTTGGCCCCCCTACTGGGAGTTTGTGCTGTGGGTTACCTATACATACATTCTTTTAGTCACAAAGTGCTAATGGGTCCTGCTCCCTGGGCAGCTCTCTAGTGTCCATGACTTTGTAATGAGACTGAGCATTTGGTGTTTCTCCTTGAGCTTCCTGTACTTACAAGGGTATTTAAAGATTTCCAAAGGTGGCAAACAAAAATTGAGCAGCCTTAAAAGTAGAAAATTTCCATGTAACCTCACAGTGCTCAAACCCAGGGTGTGAGATCCACAGGTCACCCAGTGGAGACCAGCATCCCACAGCATGGGGAGGACACATGACAGAAGCAGCCAGACAGTTGCCAGGTTGAAGACAACACACTCCCATCACTTTGTGCCCATCACAGGATGGAAGCCTCCAGCCTCCCACAGAGCTCTGTTTTCCAAGTGAACAGAGGCCCAGAGGCATCTCTGAGAGGCAGCAAAAGTCAGCTCTTCACAGACCCAATTGACTTCTGGTTACACACTCTGCCAACCAGCCTTGTGTTAGCTGGGAAGAGCATCGCATGCAAGCTGGCTACCATCCAGAGGTCCACAAAAACATTTAACCAATTCACCAGTTTTTACACCTGCTGGGCCTGACTCAACTACATCAAATGCCAACAGTTGGTGACTGTAAATGGTTGGTGACTGGTGAATCATTTCACATCATCCACCCTCCAAGACAACAATGTGGCCGTGAGTCAGATCCTGAGCTGAGGTGGTAGCCCTGTGCCCCATTCACATCTGCAGATCTGCACGCTTTGCCTTGCAGCATTTGGCCCTCTCTGCCTAGGGAGTCATTCCAGCTTCAGCCATCCCAAAATGATGCATCTCCCATCTAGCCCTGCTGTTTGGCTCCTGTTGCTAGCAGGCAGACATCGGCTCCTCCAAGCTGCTCACTTTTAAGGTGGTTCTTGCTGTCAGATTTCACACAGCCACATGGCAAACAAGGTTCGTCTGACACACAGCCTCCCCCTCCACTACCTTATGGGGCTGCAAAGCAGGAATTTGGGTCTGTTGGTAGAAACATCTTTTGGAGAGATTCACTGATCCAACCTACATTACACCACCATTTTCTCTGCTGAACTTGGTCTCTGGTGATATGCACCAGCCTACATGCACTATGTACAGTGCAGAAACACTGGAAGCAATGGCCTCTATGAGTAAGGAAATTACTCAAAATAGTAGGAATAACTCACAACCCCCCCTCCTCCCAGTAATACTCCCAGCTGACAGACGTAGCAATTTCTATAAGCTCCTACCCTCTCTTGGAGGTACAATCTCAGCTACTGCTCACTGGTAAGGCCAGTATGGGCTGTGCTGCCATGGCCAGACCTTTCAGAGGTTCACAACTGGATGGATGCATTGCAGGTTCCCAGGTTTTGCTTTTTCCTCCCTTCTCTTTATAAAGCCCTTCATTTGCTTAGAGCACAAAATTCAAAGAGAGAAAATAAAATCTCTGTGTTTTAAAGAGGACAGCCTCAATTTTTCCAAGAGGTGAACAGTTAGTTATCTCTCATTTCTTTGTGGGAGTCTGGTGCAAAACCCTGGTTTAAGTAGCATCCTTGTTTTGCCTGCTCAGCAGCCAGTGGACCTGGGTTACTTTCTTCACTCCTTTTAACTGCAATTGCCTGGAATAAAAATTAGCAGTTACACAGTGCCTGCTCCAGAGACCATGGATATCAAGAGCAAATTGTTTCTGCTTTCAGTGGGCTTTGAATCAGATCCTGAAAATGCAGCCCAGCCATCCACATCTGCAATACCACAGTCAGAAATGAGCTCAAGCACTCTAGAAATCCAAAGAGGCGGGGGAAAAAAAAGCAAGGTAACATCTAGGAAAAGAAATGTGCCGCAGGTCAGCAGCTGCATTTGAGCTCCAAAGGGGGGGTGTCACGAGAATCGGAGGGGATTGCTTGGCACCACCAAAGCAGAGTTTGAAGCACAATTGCCCTCTTAATATGAACATTATCCCATTCCAGCCAAGCCACTCAGTTTCTCCAGGCTGACAAGTTTTACTGTCCCTGGGCTGTCAGGGCAAAGCTAAGCAACGGTTTTCCAACAGAAAGACCCTTGTCAAAGAAGTAAATGTCTTCCTAAGAACGATATGTTTATATGAGAAAATATAGACATTTGCTTTTTAAGCACTCCCTTCCTCCACTGAATTTATAGCATCAAAATGAATTGGAGAAAAAAATAAGACTGTTGGGTTTTTAAATTACAATCTTTATCAAAGAGCAGCTTTCATGACACTGGAAAGGAAAACTTTTCCTGGAAACAACTCCTTTTTTTAATATATGGTTTCTCAAGGCCATTAAACCCTAAGCAAGAGCGGCATCTGCTCATCATTCCTCCTCTTTTAGCATTTGAACCCACTGGCCCCTTTCAAAAAGATTTTATAGAGAGTGATAGAGTTTTCTGGAGAAAGAGCTCTGAAGACCTTTTATGAAGCCCCCACTCTCAACCAGAAAGGCTTCAGTATGAGCTCAAGCTCACACCAGAGAAGCCATCCCAGAGGACAGAGAGACCTGGTCATAGACACCTGGCACATCAGAGTGGCACAACCACCTGGGATGGGTCCCTGATGCAAGGAACATGAGCTTGGAAGGGTTCAGAGAATTATTTGCTGGAAGCTGTGTTGCAAGGGCATCCAGCATGGCACAGCTTAGCCACCATGAGACACATAGCCAGGGAGTG